CCATTCAAATCATGCAAGTTAGAGTCCAAAACAAGGGCAAAAGTGTTTGGAAAAGTAGATACGATGGAGACGTATCATTATACTACATATAATATATTTTATCTCTAGTCTTATAAAAAACAGAGTTGTTGATGATGGTGTGCCTGCCATCATGCAATATAGGCCGTCCGATTTATATCTGATGGATAGGAAGGAAACTATGGCAATTTTGAAAAAAAGATACCCACACCCCTCTCCATATTTGCAAATAAGGCCTCCCCTTGATCATGTTGATGTTTCATGGAACGCATGGGCATCTTGCCAGTACTACATATGATATATAGAACATTGATTATAATTTGGGCTAATGTGTGGCTTTTGCAGCTTAGGGCTAAATACTTGTCATAATGTAGGGGGCGGGGCACTATACTTTGTGTGATAAACATGGTGTACGTATAGAACATGGTTTAGATTATGAATATATAGGTAGTACATCAAATGTACTATTATTTGGAATCAACATCAAGTGTAGTAAAAAAATTGAATTCGAGTTCATATAGTACACATATTTCATATCTATCTCCATAGTAATCATGTGGTGTGTTGTTAAGGTAATACTTGAATGATGATTGAAGTTGGCAACAATCATGATTGTAGATTCTTATTGAAATAGAGAAACGAATTCAAATTCAGTTTGAATTGCAGCGGTAGTATAAACATTTGGAATGCACTAAAATGTTGGTATGAGTAGGTTACATGCATTGTACAGCCAGCGAAAAAATTTAATTGGACATAATATGGATTCATACTCTGTTTTGAATAACACTAGTACAAATGCCCGTGCGTTGCACCGGGCAGAAAAAGGCGCACAACGTGCTTTATGCGCCATTTTTATATCCAATTTTAACAAACATCAATAATAAGGTTACACTCATTATTGCTTTTGTAGGATGAAGTTTGGACATGAAGAAGAAACTTAGCATTGTCTGATGGAAGAGTAGTTTTGGATGGAATAGTTGCCCATCAGTTTTACTTTCTACTTTTCGAGAAAATGCAAAAGTTTCCTTATTTTTAATAAAATTCACAAAAATTGGGACACTTTTAAGGAAAGCTAACGTTTTTACGGAAATTGGAGAATTTTTTTGAGAAACTTTTTTTGAACAGATGTCTTTTTTGATAAAGAAATTTTGATTATTTTAAGGTTTTGTACATTTTAAAATTAAAATATATTTTTTAGAAAAATTGGAACTTTTTGGGGAATTTTGAACCTTTTTAAAAGTGTGAACATTTTTTAAAGTGTAAACATATGTAAAACTGTGATCATTTTTAAACTATTTTACTATGTTGAATTTTTCTACAGATAGTTGGTTCTTTGCTTGGGAAGAGTTTATCATTTTTCTTCAAAAATATTGCTAGTAAACATACCCGTTCATTGTAACGGGAAAAGAAAATATTACACGTATTTAACTCAATAACGACATCACAACATATACGGCGTTGGCGTGGGCGAGCGCAAATCCCCCCTCTATTTGATCAACCTCCAGCTCGACATCGCCTTTGCAGCCATGTTGTGTGTCAACGTGGTTGCCATGTGAGCTCTGCCCCAACCTTTTCTTCTAGCCTCGACTGTCGCTCCTCCATGCCGCATTGCTGTCAGCACGTATGCCTCCATGGTAAAGTCCCCTTGTCATCTTCGGTTGTTGCTTCGTGTGGATTGTGTCTCATCAACATTGATATTGTCTGCTCAATCCTGGTCTGATATTTGACTCACGAGACCTAAGCCAGTAGTGATTACCAAAAATACTTTCTACTACGTAAAGGTACACTGGACTACTCATGTACGTGTGATAAGCACCGGATAGCACTTAGTAAAGTTGAATATCAATTATGCAATACAATGAGAGTATCCATCTTCATCGTAAACATACTGGCAATGAGAACATTTTAAGCACCGAGGGAATATATACGTTATAATGACACAAAGATAGAACAGTATATGGAATACACCCTTTCATACCTCTTTTCCTTCAGCTACAAAGGATACCACCTCGGATCTGTCATCGTTATTGGACGAGTGAGGAAACAGTTAAGCATACATGGTAGGATCAAGTACTCTACCAGGTCTAGGGCGTAGGTGATAAGGGAAGGATGGAGGGAGACGTGGCGAGGATCAGGCGCGCCGGCGGCAGGGCGCCGTCGCGGCTAGGAGAAGGGCGGCGGCTAGGGCTGTTGGCGGCTAGGGTTCCGGCTCCTCAGGGAGCCGGGCAATAGGAGATAATATTCTTCTTATTACTTGCCTTCAAAAAGAGTCTTACAACCTATATTTATATCCTAGATAACTTGTAGAAGAATCAACCTAAGATAACTTGCCTAAGATAACTTGCCTAATCTGAAAATAAAAACTAAGATAACTTGCGGGCCTAAGCCGGCCGGCCATAACACTTCTCCCCGCCTGCACAAACAGCTCGTCCTCGAGCTGCAAGGTGGGGAAGCGCTTGCTTGAACTCTTCGAGGTAATCAACCAGCGTCAAACACCTTCTCGACATCTGGGGCGGCCAGGTCAGCGGTGACGACGTCCTCCGGAATGTAGTCTGCCACCTCCAGGTAGAAGAGTCGCGGGCAGGCGTGGCCGGGCTTGTAGGGTTCGTCGCAGTTGAAGCACAACCCTTGGCGGCGACGCTCGAGTATCTCAGCTGGGGTGAGCCGGCGGAACGGGCGCCCCGCGGTCGCGGCGAGGGATGCCGCAGAAGCCTGCACAGGCCGACCCTGCGCGGAATCCGGTCCGGGTAGCGACCCAGTAGTCTGGGACGGTGATTCCTGCTGGATGGCCACCGCGCGGCACTCGAACGCGCGGGCGTAATACATGGCCAACTGGAGATCCTGGGGTCCCCGAAGCTCCACGTCCATGCGGATATGGTCCGGTAGACCGCCCACAAATAACTCGGCGCGCTGAGTGGCGGAGACGCCCGGCGCGTGGCACGCCAGGGCCTGGAAGCGGTCGGCCTAGTCCTGCACCGTGGATGTGAAAGGTAAGCGGCCGAGGGCCGCCAGTCGGCTCCCGCAGATAGGAGGCCCGAACCGGAGGAGACAGAGCTCCCGGAAGCGCTCCCATGGTGGCATGTCGCCCTCGTCCTGCTCGAGGGCGTAGTACCAGGTCTGCGCTGCGCCTCGAAGATGATAGGACGCGAGCCAGGTGCGATCTGAAGCGAGCGTCCGCTGCCCTCGAAAGAACTGCTCGCACTGGTTGAGCCAGTTGAGGGGGTCCTCTGTGCCCTCGTAGGTGGCGATGTCCAGTTTGGCGAAGCGAGGGGGTGTCGGCCCGCCGTGCCCGGGGGCGGCCGTAGTTGCCGCCGGCGCGTATGCTGGGTCGGGAAGCGCCGGGGCGTAGTTCGCCGAGCTGGAGGGGTGATCAAACCGTAGGGAGGGCGTCGGGTGTTCCGGCGCCGTGGAGTAGACCGGCCCCGAAGACGAGTCCGTCGCCCAAGCGGGGATCGGCGATGGTGACGGTGGAAACTGCACCTGGTGCAGGGGCCGACCCGTAGCCCTAGGCGCGGGTGGTGGTACTGTCGATGGCGGCGGCGCCTGGTGGAGCTGCACTGGCGCCTGCGTCGTGGGGGCCGGCGGTGACGCCGAAAGAAGCTGCTGGGTCTGGCCCTGCTCCGAGGCGCCGGTGCCCAGGTTAGGGCTGGGCGGGGCCGGTGGAGGACCCTGCTCCGAGGCCGCTGGAAGGTAGGGCGCGACGGAGGACGGCGCGGCCGGCACGGTCCAGGTGGGCCACTGCGGCCCCGTGGTGGCGAGAAGTGGCGGGGCTGCCGGCGCGATCTGCGGCGGCCACTGCGCCCAAGGCGGCCGTGCGGCCGCTGGGGCGGGGAGCGCCGGGTAGCCTCCGGTGACGGCCCCCGGTGCCGTGTACCACGGAAGCGCCTGCTGACCCGCGGCCATGGCTGGATGGAGTCCGGTGATGGCCCCCGATGCCGAGTACCACGGAAGCGCCTGCTGACCCGCGGCCATGGCTGGATGGAGTGGTGGGGGCGGCCCGTACGGACCTGCCAGGTAGAGGCGGATCCCTTGAACCGCGGTGACGAGGTCGTTGAGGACGCCCGCCATGGCCTCCGGCGTGAACTGTTGCGGCTGCGAGGGAGGTGATGGCGGCGACGAGTGTTGGACGGGGGCCTGTGGCTGCCCTTGGCCCGGCGTGGTGCCGGGTGCCGTTAGGACCGGCGCTGAGAGCGACGCAGTGGTGCCCGCCGAGAGCGAGGCCGTGACGCCCGGCGCAGAGGCGGCGGTGGTGGAGTTGGCGGGCAGCGGTGGTGGTGGCGATGGAATTGGCGGAGACATGGTCGAAACTCGGTTACCTGATACCAAATTGGTAGGATCAAGTACTCTACCAGATCTAGGGTGTAGGTGGTAAGGGAAGGATGGAGGGAGACGTGGCGAGGATCGGGCGCGCCGGCGGCAGGGCGCCGTCGCGGCTAGGAGAAGGGCGGCGGCTAGGGCTGTTGGCGGTTAGGGTTCCGGCTCCTCAGGGAGCCGGGCAATAGGAGATAATATTCTTCTTATTGCTTGCCTTCAAAAAGAGTCCTACAACCTATATTTATATCCTAGATAACTTGTAGAAGAATCAACCTAAGATAACTTGCCTAAGATAACTTGCCTAATCTGAAAATAAAAACTAAGATAACTTGCAGGCCTAAGCCGGCCGGCCATAACAATACAAGAATTATCTAGAAGAATTAATGGAGCGACATGTAGGATCGCATACTAATAAACTTGGTCAGTGTCATCTACACTCGGTCATTCAGTCTCCCCCTCATTAGATTTTCTAAAAGAGAGCCTCCTCTCTGAATTCTATTAACAGAAACCAATTGTTCATCTACAGCATGAAGAAAACTAAAAAGGGAAGAAGAAAACAGAAATAGGAACATTCAGGTAACCCCAGAGGGCACCCAAAACCCACAGATATCTAGGATCTGGGGTTTGCCCTTTCAGCAGCTGCACAACAGAAGCAAAAAATTTCATCGCTAGATGAGAGTGAACATACTCGCAAAAGCAGTCACCAACAAGCAGGAACAGTCCACAAATGGCAAGAGTGGCTTTAAAAGTTTGATTCCTCTCTTCACTTTAATTGCTTTTAAGCTTCCAGTCAAACCACTCCAGGTCACCATCTTTGAGAAGCTTGAAAGACTTGATTTGTCACTTGCTCGAAGAGCTTTACTCCCCAAATCAGCGCTAATCTGCAAAATTTAGCTTGAGTTTAACCAAATAACAAACCACATGAATCAGAACAAAAGTATCAGACACCGCTTTTATTCTCAAAACATGCCTCATTCAAAAATCTCCAAATCGTCCATAATACAGCAGCCAACCCCACTGCAATATAAAAAATTGTCTCGATGTTTTCAATCTAAGCACTCAGAACCTAAAGAAGTCATGATCAGTATCAGGTATAGTTTTTCAGATTAAAAGTGAATTGAAAAATGGTTGAGATCAACTAAGTAGCCCATCTCCGCGACGTAACTTACATGATTTATTGCTGTTTCACAGTTGCAAAGTATCTCCCCAAAGAGTCCTTGTAAATCGCACTGATTCCCATATGATTTTAGTTTTAATGTAGCTAATTTGAACATTAACAAAACAATCACTGAAATACGACTGACATATTGAAAAGAAATATAGTTTGTGGACAATATGCTCGGGCAGATTCGATAACAAAAGAACAATCAAATAATATGACTTGTACCATTCACACTTAAAACTGACTAACAGAAAGGAAACCAGGAATAATTTTCCGACAATGTGATCATCAGGGATTCAACATCAAACACAACTAACCCTATAGTTTGCACTCACTAGGATTAATACAAATTCTACATGACAACCACAATTGAACATGACGACTTGCAGGATTCACACATAAACTACATTACAGATAGGAAACCAACTTAATAAACTAATATACAGTTCTCTAGCCAGATTATCAGGATGAACTGAATGAGAAGTTGAGAACAACCACTTGATCACATTTCAGTTGCATCCTTGAAGCTTAAACCACTCAACAGAAATAAAACAACCTGATATTAGTAGCTCGGAAGAAGCCGACAGCAGTAGATTAACGATGATGGATCGGTCCATTTTGTAATGCATCACTATTGAGAGCCACATCAGAGATCAGTGAGTAATTGCTAGCAATAACAATCTGCCACGATCTGAAAAATTACCAAGCACAAAACTCATAACCAACCAACTGATCCTTCTGCCCACGGAAATGTACACAACATAAGTGCTTGTAATCCAGCACAAGGATGAATTTTGCCATAAATTTGGAGGTTTTTGCCTCGAGGAGCTCAACCGATTTATTGGTAGATGGCCAATAAATCATTTATCGATAAATGCACCAAAGTGATTAACACACACATATGAAATCCTTCTTGAATGGAATTTTAATGACAACATATGCTCTTACATTGCATTGCTTACTGCAGTGAACTGTCTGGCTCTGATCAACCTGATTGCTTGCCTGCTATTTATATTTCTGTAAAATGTCTCAAGAATAAACACGAGAGGAAAAAAAGATCGCATGTCAGAACAATTGAGCTAACTTGAACGCAGATAAGCAATAGTTGTCAGATCTCAATCTGTACTGGCTTACTATGAAGTTGTTGAGAATGATAACGATGTACTAGATCGTAACTGCTTCAGTAAATAGCAACGTCTCACATAGTTCAATTTTGTAATAGGAAAACAACATAATCTCTTGGTGTACAGAATGGAATATAGATGCACAACTACCCAAAAATTATGTACGAGGAAGGAGACGCGATGTCAGCTCTGATTGACAAGGTTCAATCACTCCAACACACACAAAATGGTTTGGATGTCGTCTCTGACAGCATGATTTTTTGTTCTTCTCCCTTCTGACATTCTTACTCCCTCTATTATGACTCAAGTGAGCAAACTCACCAGGAGCTGGTGCGATGCGACGTGAAAACAGTGTGTTGTAGTGACCTGAAAGCTCTGGCTCGGGAGATCGGATATGGCTGGAACAAAGAGCCATTGCAGTTCTTCCAGTGAAGTCTAACGATGATGGCAACCGCCTGGCTAAATTGAAACTGCCGGCAATACACCTGTGATCCTCTGCTGCATCAAGCATGCACCATCGTGATATTGATTCCTTAATTAATCTAAAAAGAGTTGCTTGGATTGATGTACTGTTAGAACTTGATAACAGAGGAGATTGGAAGATGAAGAAGAAAGGGTCAAGGGAGAGGTTCAATTGGGTTGGTGCCTTTTTTAGATCAATGTGCGCCTATACCTGGGTGGGGATGTCATGGCCTCGACAGAGCTCCGTGTAGGATTACGGGGCGCCGACGCGGGGCGCCATCTCCGCCGCGCACAACCAGGCTCTCCACCTATGCTCCAGATTGGAAGGATGGATAGGAGGAGGCGGCCCTTAGCTATGGTCGCACACCTAAATTGGAGGAGGAGGAGTGCAGAACGGAGAGGGCGAGAGGCGCCCGTAGCCATGGTGGGGAACCAGAACTGATGGAGAATCATCCAGATCGGTCGAACGACCCACGCCCCACAAGACTCCATGCGTGGCGCGCCCGAGCCGCCCACGCCCTGCCTCGAACCCGTATGGATTGCGAGAGCCAGCGCCCGACCCCTGCCTCGCCCCGCCACCTCGACGCCAGCGACTCCCGACGGAACCAGGTACCCAACGCCGACCTGCCTTCCTCCTCTCCCTCTTCTTCCTCTTGTTCTCTCCTTCCTCCATCCCGTTCTCTCTCTCTCTATTCGAACTGGAGGTTCCCAGCCACCATGCTCATCCACCGCCGGAGCTTCCATGTCCACGCCCCACACCGCCTGTGAGGATCTCCTCCGCCGCCAGCAGCTCCGCTCGCGACTCGCTCTATCTTCCTCTTCTTCGCGCAGCGCTTGCCCCTCCGTGCAAATTATCCAACTAAAAGAGGACCACGGGCTGAATACTTCAAAATGCAGGGTCCTTTTGTAAAACTGAAACGTTTTCTCAGTTTATCCACTTAAAAGAGGACCGTGGGTTGAATACCAAAAACATCAGGGACTATTTTGCAAAAAGGGCGCGACGGTAAACCTGCCAGACTCAATCCGTGGTTTATTATTAGGGAAAAATTTTGTATAGTAAAACGGGACAAGACTCTCTCTTTGTGTGGTGTGAATAGTTTTATTTTTATTTTTTGTTTTTTTGTTGAGGAAAGTGCGAATTGATTTGGTATGTACAAGTACAATATTACACGTTAGGCTTGTCCCTATATTCAACCCGCGCCTTGTTATATCCCGACAATTCAGATATCGTGCTCCCAAAACTGACGCCTTCACAACCCACGCCTTGCTATCCCGAAATTACAACGCGCGTGAAAACTCCCTCCAGCTGCCAAATCCCGACACACGAAATCCTCCTTCTAACCTGAGCCGAAAGGGCTGCTAGTTCAAATCGGTGGGGGTACTTTTGTAACACACCGTACATTTTGGACAAGCGCGTCCCGAAGTCATGGTTCCCCCTCTCATCGCCTCCTTTTTGCCATTCGAAATCCCAGGCCGCCATAACCTCTCCGCTCCAGCCGCGAAACCCCACCCTCCTTCGTCTGCCACCGCAACAGCTCGACGACATCGTCCACCGCAACAGCTCGACGTCCCTCATCCACCACCCCAGATGAGGATCCCTCGTCCATCTCGTCGTCCCACCGGTTCAGCCGCCCCGTCCTCCACCTCCAAGGAGCTGCTCAGACGATCACCTCATCTATCGCGGCTGCTCCATCCCCATAGCGCCGCCTTAATCTGCTCCATCGGAACCGCAGCATCCTCACCGACTCCTTGGACGAAGCCGAGGCCTATTCGGCGCCACCAAAGAGGTTGTATACTCATCGCATCGCACCTTCTCCTTAATTTGACTTCCCGACGCCGACGGTGCTCCATCCCGCACCCCCATGGAGCGGCTACCTCGAAGCCGACGCTGCGGGCGACATCTCCACGGCGGCTTTCCCCTAGTGCGAGGCCCCTTCGTCGGCGGCATCCATACCAACCGGACCTGCTGCTGCTGCTCCGGCTCTGGCTCGCTTGCTCGCCCAGTTGCTGCTGCTCCGGCTCTCACTCGCTCGCGCTACTGCTACTGCTCTGGCTCTCGCTTGCTCGCGCTGCTGCTGCTTCTCCCCCCTCGCTCGTGCTGCTGCTCTTCTCCAATTTAGCTACACTTTAGTCCACTGAATCGACTTTTGGGTCAGTCGATTTTCTGGGGGTGGGGGGCTCGTAGGAGTTAAGGAAGAACCACCCGCATCGGGGAGGGGGCTCGCCGGAGAGGTGCCACACAATCTACCTTAGGGTTCAGGTTGGGGGCGGTGGACGCCGGCGGGGGGGCGCGGTGGTGGGGCAGTGCCGTGGGGATCGCTAGAGAAAAAGCTCAGCGCGAGGGGGGGCTAGACGGCTGGCCGGGACGGCGGCGGACTGGCGGTGGGGAATTGTTTCGGGGCGGCGGACTTGCGGTGGGGAGTTGTTTTGAGACGGCGAGGTGGCGCAGGGGCCGGCGGTTCGGCCGGTGGTGGCTGGCGACTCGGGGGGTGCAGGTTGAAGATGAACTGCAGGCCCTCCCTAAACTACATGTCAAGTGCCTCTCTTCTACCATTGCGTTCAGTTTTGAAAGTAATATTTAGATTCCACAATAAATTTCAGTTTCGATAGTTAAGTTCAGAGTCAATAGTCTTTACCTCATCTGTTGTATTCAGGTGCTTTATGGTGATGTAAATTTTACATCTATTTTACATCATTTATTGGAGATGCTATTAGAATACCACTTAAGATTAAGGATGTCTGTCTTGTGTTGCTTCAGACTTGACGTCTTACGACTCACCGGAGCTGCTCCAACGACAGAACTATCCATTACAACAGAGCAGTGCCCTGGACACCATCTACGGATTCCTCAGATCTTCCTCCGCACCTCCGACGGCCCAATGATGCTGAGGTCGACACGGCTACGACAAAGAGGTTGTACACTTGTTGCATCACTTATTACTCTACATTCATGTCGATCCATTAGGGCTATTTTTGTTCAACGAAAAAACATAGCAATAGGAAATTTTCCTATGCCACTCTACTATGCAATTATTCATGCATTTTATTGAAAAGAATGGAGCAAAACATCCACCTGGACCTACTTTTCGAAATCCTATGCATGAAAACAAGACCAAGTGCGTTAGTGGCAGAATCACATTCTAACTGTACACACTTTCATATGGTTTCACTTTACTTTGGCCATGTTTCTTTGCATTCCTCTGCTCTTCCAATTCCTGTGAACCAAACACCCTAGTTGACAGAAACCCTGTGTTTACAAATGCTCTGTTTACCATGTGCATTCCTATCCTATTCCGGTGTTTTTCCTATCCCTTCGTTTTTAGAACCATGCAAGCCAAATGAGCCCTTATAGAATTACTTTAGTTACAGGTAGGTGTCGAAGGAAACTTTGTGTGGTTTATCCTGCTCCTACCGCGAGGTCGTCCACCTTACCTGAGCTGCTACATCGATAGAAGCATCCACCAAACTAAACATCATGACTCATGGCCGTCTTTCGCCACCTCAGATCTCCTTCTCTGCCGCCGGTACCCACCGCAACGGCATCACCATCATCGACTCAGCAGACGAACATGAGGAGTACATAGATCCACAAGAGAGGTCGCACTCTTTTGTTTATGCTTATGTTATGCATTGCTTAAAGTTACCTCCTACTTTATTGTCTTGTTTACCTCTTAGACTCTAAGTCAGGTCCAAATTAATGTTCAAACTTGAGTTTTAAATTAGTTGTGGGGAACATATCGAGGAAGCAATGAATAGTATCTTTGTCTAATATCTGGTTCACCTAGTGTAAGTGCATCTAGTGCCACCCCTAGTTGGTTTTGGAGTATTGATGACAAACCTAGTTGAGGGACTAATGTGTTTGTGAGAATTGCAGGATAACACAGGTAGAAGTCCCTCATTGATTCTGTTTTCCTACCAGAGATGACCCCTAAAAATGTATGAAGACATTGATGTCAAAGGTGGTTTATGAAGATATTCTCATTGAAGACTATGACAAGAGAAGACATCACATGAAGCCTATGGAGCTCGAAGACTTAGATCTTTCGTAGTTCTGTTTTTCCTTTGTTGAGTCATAGGAACCACCGTACTGTTAAGTGGGGTCCAAGAGAACCAGCCAGAATGACTGAAGTGATGCTTAACCAAAACCTATGTCTTCGAGTGAAGACTATGAGAGCGAATCTTGTCCAGAGTCGAACAAGTCAGCTTTGATTGTAGCCCAAGTAAAGTTGCCGTGTGAGTTTGAAATCTGACCGTTGGAACACATGTCAGTTCCTTAGTGACCCAAGGTCATTTCAGACAAATCAGGTCGGGTTGCCTAGTGGGTATAAATAGCCCACCCCCTACAACCATAAACGGTTGGCTGCTCAGAGTTAGAGTACGGCTTTTGTCTTTTGAGAGCAACCCACCTCAAAGCCTTTGAGAGAGAGAATTCCTTGCGAGGATAAAGCCCTAACCACCCAGAGCCAAAGAGTGTTAGGCATCACTTAAGTCTTCTTGTCTGTGTGATCTGAAGACTTATTACACTTGAGGACTGTGAATCCTCCAGCCGGTTAGGCGTCGCGTTCTGAGCATCCAAGAGACATTGTGGATCGCCGGTGAACGAAGTCTGTGAAGGTTTGGGAGTCTACCTTGAAGACTTACCAGAGTGATTGGGCGAGATCTGTGTGACCTTAGCTCAGGGGGAATACGGTGAGGACTGGGTGTCCTGAGCTGCGTGTTCAAGACTAGGTGTCCGGGACTGTGTGTCCTAAGGTTTAAATATCTAGCCGCCCTAAGCAGACATACAATTGTCACAACAACTGGAACTGGTCCAACAAATCATTGTCTTCAACGAGTCACTGGTTTCATCCTTCCCTTCCCTTTACTTACTGTTGGTCCTTGTGAAGTCATTGTATGATTGCACTATCTTCTGTCTTCACTGAGTGACTGCGTGTTCTATTTGGCTTCATAATATCTTCCTACCTGGTCCTTACTACATTGCTGCTATTAGTCATTGTGCTTTCGGTTCATTGAATACATGACTATGGTTTGCCTAGTGTATTCTACCTTCCGCTGCATAGTAATAGGTTTATCTCTATCGTTTGTCTTCGAAACTTCCATGTTTTGAAGACTTTCATAAAATCGCCTATTCACCCCCCCTCTAGTCGATATAACGCACTTTCAATTGGTATCAGAGAAAGGTACTCCCTTGTTCTGTGTGATTCGGTTTAACCACCTGGAGTTTTAGCTATGTCGACTGCAGGGATAATTAAAGTCTCCGCTGCGTGCCCCGTCTTCGATGGAACTGAATATCCCTACTGGAAGAATAAGATGCGCATGCATCTTGAAGCCATTGACGTTGACCTATGGTATGTCGTCAAGAATGGCATTCCCAAGGCTGGAGAAGGTGTCACTGCTGCTGATGTCAAGAAGTTCATTCAACT